AACATTCAGGGGTCTCTTGTTTTGTCAGCCTCTTCTAGTAACACGTTGAGTCCGTGTTTCTGGAAGGTGTCTGTTGACCTTTGTAGCCTTCAGATGTCCAAGATTCCCTCTATGCTTGGTGTGCCCATGGTGCTTATGATGAATTAGAAGTGTGTAGGTCTCCCTGGAGCTGTGCTTGTGGCTGCGTTGGTGGCTGGCTTTGTTTACACTCTAAGTCTCTAAGTACTGTGAGCCTTTCTAGCTCACAAGTCTTCAGGCCTCTGTGGGGGTGGGATCTCCCCCTCCCCGTAGGAGTGCAGGGGAGTGCCAGAGGGCCGAAATCCTCAGCTGAGCAGGCTGCCAGTCCTCCCAGAGCTTTTAGGGCTCTTTTTGTTTAGTCCAAACAGTCCCTCCCTGAGCAATGCCTCCCCACTGCCTGAGGTCCTCTCACAGAGCCCAGCTGTATCTCTTTAACTCCAGGGTTTTACCACAGTTTTTGTGGGTAGATGTGGTAAGCAGGTAGACCCCTTAGCAAGTCTCCTTGTTTGAGGCACTTTCTAGGGCCTCTCTATGTTGAATGTGCCCGTGGAAGATTGTTAAAATTGTTGCATTATCCTAGGGTTGGGCCTGTGGTTGGGTCTTGTCTGTTTCCCCCAGCCCTCTTTAATTCAGGGGCTTTGTGAGTCTTGTTGACCATGCCTTAAGAATGGTGCCAAGACCTGACCAAACCCTAATGTTGCCTAGTCTCAAATCTCTATTGTGGGGGCAGGAGATGCAGGTAGGGCTAGAGGGGTTCCAATTATCAGTTCCACTTCTCTGCTTCCTGGGTTCTAAGTAGCACAGTTTTTTGATTTTTTTTTTTGTTCTTTATTTGTTTTCCTGCCCCCTGCAGCAGCTTGGGATCCACTCACCTAGCTGTATTGTCTCAGTTTATATCCAGGGCTTTGTCGGGGCTGCTGGGGCAAAGGACAGCAACACCTCTGCAGTGTATCCTCAGGTCTCTGGTTCGGAACTGTAGCTTTTTCTCACAATTTGGTTCCTCTCCCTAGTTGAGTTGTCTCAGTTTATCTCCAGGGCTGTAGCAGGGCTGGGGCAAAAATCTGCTGTAGCTGTGCAGAGCAGCGGTAGCGGCAGTCAGTCTCCCTCTGCAGCACTTCCTGGTGTCAGGGCACCTAGATTTTTAAAGGAGCCTAACGAGTAGGAAGCCCCTGGCGTTCCCCTGATCAGAGTTGCATGTTCAGCTCATCCTGCCTTTGTGGCTTCTGGTTAGGAATTCCCTTATGGGAATTCCCCAATCGCTGATTCTCCCTGGGTTATCTTCCTTCTAGTCAGTCCAGGGCATTCCCATTTGGGTTGAAACTCGTAGCATGTAAGTCTATAGTCTGTTTTTATATATTCCTCTGTGAGTTTGGATGTAGTCGTCTCGGTGTCTTTATTCTGCCGCCATCTGCCTTCCGGAGCTGGTCAAGCTGGTCCTCAGAGGCTTTGAGGGCCCCAGGCACTCTCCATAGGTGGGGACTGCAGTTTCAGCGGTTTTTGCCTGTACCCAGGTGCTGCGGATCAGATTTGCAGTCTTTCCTCAGCTTGGGCTCCACTCATTGAGCTAAGCCGAACCCCTTCACCTCCAGGGCATTAGCATGGGGCAAAGTGTCTCCTGCAGCCTGCCAAACTTTCAGGCGCCTTGGTTTTCTGGGAGTTGGAACTCCCCAATCGCATATTTTCCCTCAGTTATCTACCTTCTAGTGAGTCCAGGGTGTTTTCATTTGGGTTGAAACTTGTAGTAAGTAAGTTTATAGTCCGTTTTCATTCCTCAATTTCTATGCAAGCCTGGACGCAGTGATCTCAGCATCTTTACTCTGCTGCCATCTTCCCCACATCTTTGTTCATTTTTAAGCAGTATTTGCTTTATTTTCTCAGGTGTAGTCCCCACAGAATTTCCACCCATGCATCATTACCACATTCCCATGTGCTCCATCCTCCCTCCCTCTTTCTGTTTCCTCCTTCTCTCCCCACCCCATCCCCATAGGATGTGTCTGGTTTATAATTGTCTGTCTGTCTGTTTTTGTTTTGTTTTGTATTGCTATTCTTTTCCCCTCATATGCCTTATTTGGTTACCTTGAATTCCTCCTATAAGTGAAACCATCTGATATTTTTCTTTTTTCCTTTTGACTAATTTTGTTGAGACTAGATTTTTCTGGGTCCACCCATGTTGCTGCAAATGACATTAGTTTGTCTTTCCTAATTGCTGAGTAGTATTCCATTGTGTATATGTACCATATCTTCTTAACCCAGTTGTCTATTTTTGGGCATTTAATTGTTTCCAGGTTTTCCCTATTACAAATACTACTGCAATAAGCATAATGGTACAGGTATTCTTTTGAATCACTGTTTTTGTGTTGTTTTTGTAGATCCCTATAAGTAGAATTGCTAGGTCATATGTTAGCCCCATTTACAGCAGTCTGAGGAGCCTCTACACAGCTATTCATAGTGGTTGGACTAGTTTGCATTCCCATCAGTAGTGTGGGGAGTTCCTTTTCGATCATATCCTCACCAGAATTTGTTCTTGATTTTTTTTTTTATATATACACTACTTTTGCTGCTGCATTGTGATACCTCCTTGTGGTTTTGATTTGCATTTCCCTGATTATAAGGGATGTATGACACAAGCTATGCAACTTCTATCGACTGACAAATTCTGGATAGAAAAGGAAAAGCTCCGAGAAATCAGAATTTCCACTCTAACTTATGTTATGACTTCCCTTTTTTGTATAATCATAATATCAAAATATTCTGAGCAACCATGCGTTTACAACTGAATTGCCTTAGCCTTCTAAGGCGGCTGCCTGGGTCAGGCAAGCTGCCCCAGGGTGGGAAATTCCTCTGTCTCCTGAGACAAAAGGAAGCCCAGTGAAATAAGAACCCTAGGGCATAAAAACTCCTGGGAACCTTCATTGGTTTCTTTAAAATAAAAAGCAAATCTCAGATAAGACTCCCAGGGCATATGGACTCATGGACAATTTTTTTTTGTATTAAAAAGTTTATTTTTACATCATTTTGCACATTTTTTTTCCATCTCAATTGTAATCCCCGCGGGTTTCCCATCACCAAATCACCCCTGTGCCACCACCATAGTCCCCTGCATTTCCCTCCCTTCCCCCCGTTTTTGATCCCATTCCCCACTCACCCCCACAGAATGTCTCTGGTATATGGTTGTTCATTATTTTTGTTATTTTCTCGCCTGGCTCATGGACAGTTTTTAACCTTGTTTACACAGGTGTTGCTTAATACACAGCTGTGCAACTTTCTCTTAATGTACTCCTTTTTAAAACAAGCACTAACTACTCTCTGCTAACCTTAAATTGACCATTAGTTTTTCTTTAGACAACCACTGATAGTACTGTTAACACAATTTATTACTTCCCTAAGACCCCAATAACTGTTTGCTAACAAGCTCATCCTATCCCAGACCCTCTTCCCTTGAGTTATAACTAAACATCTGTGCACATGACAATTATCACAAAAATGTTTAATTTAGTATAACATAAAATATGAGAGAAAAATGTTTGTTCCCCTTGTCCTTGAGAAAATTTATGAGAATTTATGGGATCTCTCATTAACTTAATCTATACATTATTGCAATTAACTACTTGCTAGACAGTATAAATAAAGACCTGGTGAGGGAATGGGCAGGAAGACTTGCACCCAACTCTGACTCCTATGTCTTCCTGGTGCCTGCTCCCCTAACCCCTTTTGGAATCTCCTCTCCTGATGCCTTCACACCTTATGGCCCTGCCTGTCTCACTTCCTAACACCTCAGTAGTTGGGGCTGGCCCCTGACAGATGTAGAACATGATATTTTTAAAAGCTTGGCTTATTTTAGAGTGTCCATTGTGTCAAATGCTGTGGGTATTTAAAAGAAATGCAGGGCATAGTTTGTTTCTTCAAGCTATTTATATTTTGGGGAGTCTAAAGTATGTATAACACATTCAGATTTCTAATGAATTAATGCATACACATGGGACAGTAGGATTCCTTTTCCCTCTTTTGGGTTCCACACTTTAGAACACAGGGACCTGTGAGGCATGGAGTGTCTGAATAACCTTCCCAAGAGGATTTGGACTCCACTCTTGGTTTTGGACTCAAGCTTTTGACCTGGCTCTCTTTACCACTGGACAGAGCTGTAGGAGAAGGGACAAGGAGGGACAATAGAAGTCTAGAACTCTGAGTCTAGGGCACTTACCATTGTGAGTGTGATTAGTATGATCCAGCCACAGGTGTGTCTTAGGGAAAAGCAAGGTAAGAGAGGATAAACATGAATTCTGCTCTTTTTCATCTTATTTCCCTTTTGCTGACAATTTTTTTTTTGTGGTGCAGACACTGTACTAACCTTTATTAGTCCCCAAATCTACAGCCAAAATAAAGCTTTTATGACTACCTGTTATGAGTACCGTGTTATGACTACCATTGTAACAATTTTCCCTGGGGGGTACTGTAATTCAAAGAAGGGGTATTTCCAAATCCAGGCAGCCAAGAAGAGGGGATTGGGATGCAGACTTAGGTGTGTCTGACTCTCATCCATTGTCCAGCAGGGCTCTCTGTGCTTGCATAGTATAGGAACAGTAGTGGAATCTGGAAGGGGAATTCACCTTGGCCTTTGCTGAGTAGAAAGATCCAGTGAAGTCATATAAACATGAAAAGACAGCACAGGGCTCACGACTGGCAGGATTTCATGACAGGCCCTAATAGCTTGAGTGGTGTGCTGTGAGTTAGACATCATTCCTTCACACCTGTAGAGGTTTTCATATTACAAAGCCTACTGCTGTGAGTGAATCACTTCTCAGAACTGGACTGGATGGTAAGGGGAGACTGTGCCTTAGTGCACCACAGGCAGGGTGAGGAGCTCATTTTGAAGGAGCCATTCATGAGTGTTGTCCTTGGACAGGCTCCTTAACCAGGAGACAGTGACTCTACCTGAAGGTTTGTTAATTTTCATTCCTCACCTGTCACCAACTTCTCTATCAATGGCCCTGAGTGCTGTTAGTAATCTGAGGTGGGGCTCAGACTTTGAGATGTCTGACTTCAAGATCCATTCTCTTCTAGTATGTCCTGAAACATGCAGCTTAAATAGGAGTGATCTTGGAAGAGAAATCCTCAAAGCAGCTTTCTCCTTTTGTCAGAGAATGAAGAGCCTGACAGGGGTCATGTCAGGTGAGTGCTGTCATATGGAGAATTTCAGCACCTCTGTTGGGAAAGGCTGGAGATTCTAGGGTGTGTCCATTATCAGTTGCCTGTATCTTTTCTGTCCCCATGCCCTAAACACTTGTTGTTCCTCCAGCACTATCTATTGGTGACTGATTCCTTGTGAGTCTCAGGAGATGGAGGGGAATGTTCAGTCCTCAGTTTTGCCTCAAGTACAGGAGCCTTTGGGTTGCAATGGAGCGTGATGGGCTGCAGGGCCAGAGACCTTAATCATGAGGTGATGGTAATGAGAACAGGCCATTTCTCTGTCTTCCTAGGGCTGTCAGTGCTCCTGATGTTGCCTTCAGTTCTGATCGCTGGAGGTAAGTCTGCCCAGCCAGTCCCATTATTGACATCAGCTGAGGAGTGCATCCGGGGATCTGGATCCTCTCACTGCAAAGTATGGAAAGCAGGCTGATCTGCAAGACTCCAAGATAGGCCTCTGGAGATAAGAGAAGCAGTGTGTTGATTCATCTTTAAATGTCCAGTTCCTGAACTCTTCCTTGTTGGATGACAGTCGAACTTTTCTTCTTGCCGCTCTTCTACTCTTGGATCCCAAGCTGGGATCTGGGTCTTATAGTCTTTGGCTCTTCTGACCACAAAATCTGTCCCACAGCCTCTGCAGCCACAGCCTGCGCTCCGTGGTGCCCTCCGAACTCCAAGTGTGTCAGTGCCACCACCTGTCGTTGCCTGCCAGGATTCAGTTCTTTGTCTGGAGAGCTCATCACCAACCCCTTGGAGATCTGTGATGGTAAGGAGATTTGGGGAAGCTGGAGGGCACATAGTGAGTTTTAGGTATTATTTTGTAGTCTCCTGAGCCTCATTCCTGGTAGCTGTATAGTAGCAATTTGTCAAGGATAGAAGACAGGGGAAAGGTCAGTGAAATTAGAGGAAAATGAGCAGTCGGGTTCATGACCAGTGGGCAGAATGATCAGAGCTTATAAGCCCAGAGGTTGCATGTAGATTCCCAGTCTAATTCTGTCAGTGACGGACCCTGTGACATTTCGGAAATTATTTCTCCTCTTTCTTTTTAATTTTGATACCTGTACATTGTTGTGTGAGGATCTCCATGATGGAATGAGATTCAAAATTCACCTCTGTAACCCAAATATGCAAATACAGATGACTGTGGTATGCATACACAATGGGTACTACTCAGGAATCAAAAAAGATAGAGTCATGCCATTTACAGCAACATGGATGGAGCCAGAAGAGATTATACTCAGTGAGATAAGCCAGAAGGAGAACGAAAAATATTGGGTGGCTTAATTTATAGAAGAAATATACAGCAACCTAATAAAGGATCAGGAAAAAATAATAATCAATAAAAACCAACTTCACAAACAACTAAAATGAGAGACATTCTGCAGGGAAGAGGGAGGGTGAAGGGTGAAAACACAGGAGGAAGAGCACAAGGTACCTTGTTGACCATTCACAGGTGAATTGATGGTGCAATTTTACATGTATCTTGCATAAAAATATGTTGCATGAAAATGAAGTTGTTAAATATAAAAAATAAATTAATAATTAAAAAAGAGATTCACCTGTGTAATGAACAGGCAAAGACTAGTGTAGTGAACTATACTATACCACTTTTTACTACTATTGCTATCATTATTTTCATAACACAAAGAAACAGAGAGAATTGTGGCAACAGGAGGAGCCCTCGCCTGGAAGCTTAGCCTCTCATCTATCTCAAGGTCACGGAGAACTGCTGCCCGCTGTCCGTCGTGGCTTCCCACGTCACTCCTCACCTCAGCCCCCTGAGGCAAGGGGGAGAACATTGTTTCAGAATCACTCTAGCTGGGATCAAGGAGTTTGAGTCACTTGTTCAGCCACATAGATAATTTGGTGGTAGAGCCTAGAGCTGAATCTAAGACATATAAGCTTTTATTATTCAACAACATGATTGAAAAAGGTAATTATATTATTTTAAAATAAATAGGATAGAAAACTTTATAACATGAATTTTACCATAATTAAAAAAAAAAAACAGGGAAAGGACACAAAGCAATTCTCTTCACAATTCAAAATACCCTAGCTGCATGTTTATTCATCAAAATATTCCTAATATGACAGCAAAGATAAAAATTATGTAGACCTGCATATTGGAAATGCCTCAGACAGTAAAACTGTGATTTGTTTTATTCAGAGAATTATATATTAGGCCTGTGGAAAGAATTGCAAGACAGCTGATTAAAAAAACCTTTGAAAGATTTAAAGACAACTTTTTTCCTTTTGAAAAGATCTGTTATTTATGCATACAACTAGGGTACAGGCCAGAGGCACAGGGGTAGTGAGAGGATTCATTTGATACATGGGTGGGAGCAGAACATGCAGATTGAAGAAGTACATTGCTGAGGGCGTCTGAGGGCGAGGGTGGTCAGAGGTTTGGTGCACCATGTTGGTCACGTCCCTGGCCAGCGATCGAACTCATGCTGAAGTGGCTGCAGCTAGCTTTGTAGGGTTGTGTTCAACCTGTTGGGAGCAACATTTTTTCCTTTAAGGACAAAAAACACCCTGAAATATTTCCAGCAGCTTTTATATGATATGCATGTGATTTTATAGTTTTGTTTTTTACATTGTGTTTATCTTCTAACCATCCACATGTTATTTGATATTTGGGGGGAAGGATTGTAGAATTTTAAGGAAAAAATAGATTTCGTTACTACTGCCTAAGTAACCCATGTCCAGAGGTTTTCCAGAGGGTTCCTTTGTGTACCTAGCTCACTTGTGTTGGTGAGCGTGGACAGAGGTCCTAGAGCTAATGCATCCCAGGTACTTCCTAGGAAACACCAGCTAGTTGAGGAATTCCCCATCCCAAGGTCTCCCCCCTATTTCTCATTTTCAACCTCACCCCACTAAACTCCATCTCATCTTGACAACCTTGAAGCCTTTCCCACCACGTAAGAAGAGAGAAGAAAGTCCTTTGCCCAGGTGATGCTGAACATAAATCTCTCAGGTGTGGATCCTTCCCACATCCTGTCCTGTCCAGGTGCTGACAGCAGCAGCCTGGACTTAGATGGGAAATCTTCAGGTGAGAATAAAGAACTATGATGTAGGGGAGACCAGTTGCCCCCAAGTCCTATCAGGCTCTAAGGCTTTTGGCCCCCTGACTCAAATGCACGGGGCCAATTCTTCTATCTCCATGCTTGGATTCATTCTTGTGTCCATAGTTATTATTAGGTTGTTGTTTTGAGTCAACAGGTTCAGTCCTTCTTATGTGGGCCCCAAAGCTAATTTAAGGGGGCCTCTTTAGTGGCAGTGTCTGCTGTTAAATTTAGAATAGGGGAAGAGGTAAGCTGCCAGAAAACACTGTAGACACGCAGTTGGAGAAGCTTCACATTGCTCCTCATTTCACATCTGTGATAGATTCTGCTATGGGGTGACTTCTGCCAGGACTGAGTTAACAAGAGACATCTGGTGCACCTAGAAACCCTGACACTGCCATGTGGGGGCATCTGATTAGAAGTGAGGTGTGCTTGGACCACTATGAGTAGGCGGAATTGGAAGCAAGCAATGTGCATGGGTCTGACCATCTGGTTCCATACTCAGCATAAGGGATGTGACTGGCCCTGGGAGCCCTTCTTGTGACTCCCCCTCCTGACTGAGCTTTAAGGGTGGCCTGCCTGGCCCCTGTTCTCTGGATGAAAACAGCCCCTAGATTCCTGATGAGCAAAAATATCCCCAGTAGAGTGTCTGAAGTCTAGTTCATTGCCTCTCTCAGCCTCACAGGCCTGCAGGGGGATGCCGGCCTCCTTCCAGCCCCTGGCATGATACAATAGGGCTGAAGTGAGCTTTCACAGCAGAGTGTCTGAATCTAGGTGTCTTCAGGCCCCTCTAGAGAGCAGAGATGTGTGGAGCCATCAGCAGGCTTTCTGGATCCGCTGTTCCAGCCAAGTCAACCTAAGGAGGAGGCTGAATCCATTCCAACCTATGGTGGGGTCAGGCTGGATTTGGGGTCTGCCCTGTGGAAACTCATGATGGTGATCCTTTGTGATGTTGTGTTCCAGACATCAATGAGTGTGGACCACCAGCGACAGTGTCCTGTGGAAAATTTGCAGACTGCCAGAACACGTATGGGAGCTACTACTGCACGTGTTTCCCAGGATATGAGCTTGTGTCTGGGGGATCAACATTCAGGAATGAGAGTGAGAACACGTGCCAAGGTAAGAGTGACCCCAGATTCCATCTCCTCCTCCATGAGACTGGAGGATCCTCAGCCCACTTTCCTTACACACTGGAAGTTACCCGATCCAGCGACTAACCAGGGCTGCTGCTCGGTCCATGCACCTCTGTGATCCCTCAGTTTCAGAGCCCTGCACAGAGTGCCACGTACACAAGTTTGGAGCATGCCCCTTGCCAGGCTGGCATCTTATTTTATAAATGTAAAGTGGGACAGCATTCAAGAGACTTCACAAGGTCATGCTGTTTGTTTCTCTTTGTCATTATCTCTGTCTGCTGAGATGAGACTTGATCCTTCCTTTGTGTTTATGGGTTCAGCCACACCAGGAGCTTCTGGACCATGATAAGACAAGATTCTCTTTCCAGACATCTGGGAAGGTAGAGATTAGATGGCTGGCCACATCTGAGGACCACACATCTCTTGGCTCACTGACATGACTCCTTGGCTGCTCAGCTTCTATCTCATTCCTCCATGCAAATTTCTTCCTTGATCTTCTCTGCCACCCGCCCCACAACCAATATTCAATTAAGAAGTCTGTGAGCAGCTGGGATGACCAGGAGGATGCTGTGTTGCTTGTAGGCAGGGTGCTGAGGACCTTCTCCTACACTCTGTGAGAGCTGAAGGGAAGAGTCTCTGTCTTTCCACTGGCAAGAGAGGGCACCACCAGGGATCACTGATCCTGGCCCAACCCTCCCTGAAGCAGGCGAGCCAGGCTTCACATTAACCCAGACCACTTCGGAGGAGAGATAGAGAATGAACCCCAATCAGCACGACCCATAGGTCTGCTTCCCTGCTGGGAGACCAAGGGCTGAGAAGACTGAATGCCTGCCACCTGCTGTCCATCATCTCCCCTCTAGCCCTCAGTCCGCAGCCTCTACTGGCCTTGCTGGAAAGTGCATTCTCACCATTTCCTGCCAATGCAAGGAGATTTTTTATGAAGATCAAGAAAAGCATCTTTGTTACTCAAGGCTGCCTGGCTGGTGCCAGCCCCCGACCATCCCAGCCTGGTACCACTGACTGGGTGGTTCTGGCCTCGCTGGCATCTTCTCCTGTCTCCCTAACTCTTTCTGCAAGCTCATTGAGAGTCCTGACTCACTGATGGGTCCATGCCCATCTCCACAGAACTGGAGTCTCAATAGAGCACATGGAGGAGCACTGACCTGCAGATTCACCTGAATTCCAAGGAGAACTCAGTCAGTGAGCAGCATCCCGGGAAAGTAAGACAAGGCCATCACTGACCCTCAAGATGGCCCTCACTGGAAAGCAGCATTTCCCTTCCACTCACTTCCCTAGTGGTGTCAGTGGGTCTCTGTCCAAAACCCCAGCCTGGGACATAGGTGTCTCAATATCCCTGCGCCAGCTGGGAACTGAGGGGAGGCAGAGCGGCTGGCAGACATGGAGGGCTCAGGCCACTTCCAGACACACCAGATAACAAAGCATCTAGGTCACCACCTCACCTCTAGAATGGCTCCACGTGAGTAAGAAAACACACCCATCCACCGAGGACTAGTAAGAGAGGCTTCTGGATGTTTCTATGGCAGGAAACATGACTAACTCCCAGCTTTGGAAGTTCCCACAGCCATAGGTCCCTATCACCTTTTCCTTCCACTCACAGATGTGGAAGAATGCCAGCAGTACTCTCAAATATGTAAAAGCCACAGCATCTGCATCAACACCCAGGGCAGCTACACCTGCAAGTGCCTGCCTGGCTTTGAGCTCAACCTGAAGGACCCGAAGCAGTGCACAGGTAGAGGCCCTGGAGGACACTGTGGGGCTGTCCTGGAGCTGGGGATGGAGCTGATGTCCTACGTGGAGTGGGGGATGAGGGGTGAGGGGATGGGGGGTGATACTCAGGAACCCACAGAGTGAGGCCCGCCAGGGTGCTGCCCAGATGCACCTTCCTGGGTTGTCCCACCACAGAGTAGGAAGGGGTGGAGCCTGTTGGCCTGAGTTTCCTTATCAAACTGCCTGCCCCTGTGAGCACCCCCTGGCCCTGGCCCCTTTCTCCTCTGTCACATTGAGTACATTTGGAGGAGGGATCACTCCTGGCTCTGAAATGGGGAACCTCAGTCTAGGGCTAAGGAGGAAGCATTGAGAAGCCTTGAGCAGGAAGTCCAGCTCCCTAGGCCAAGTTTCCTTCTTGAGCCCAGTTTCCTGCCTGAAGGGGCACACTGCCCCTGCATAGCCCCTGTTGAAGGAAGCTGCAGTTCTGGCAGAGGGAGGTGATGGCACTCCAGGGCAGGTGTCCCCGGCACAGCAGGGTTGCGGCCCGGAGGCAGGGCTCACTGGTCTTGTCCTAGTAAGGCCGACACAGCTCTGGTGGGCAGTGGTGCCACAGCCCTCCTGCCTTGCCCAGGCAGAGCAGTGCTCAGCCTCACACTCTCCCTCTTAGAAGCTCTTTACTGCTCCCCCACCCCTACCCCGCACAGCACCATGGCGAAGCTCAGCTTCTCTGGCCCACACAGTGGCCCTGTACTGCACTGACAACCTCCAGGGTTGCGCTGAACTCATGTAGCTTTTGTGGTGAAGATGCTGTCACAAAGCTGTGCCCTGATAGCTCAGTGGCTGATAGGGTGTTGGAGGCTCCTGGGTGGGAATGCTGAGGAAATGAGGGGTGCAAAGGATGAAGGTGTGAATGGAGGGGGGAGCCTAACCCTCTGGCTTTGTCCCCAGACGTGAATGAATGTTCCAGCGGGCAGAACCCCTGCCACAAGACCACCCACTGCCTCAACTTCGTGGGAGGCTATGAGTGCCGCTGCCGCCCCGGCTGGAGGCCGGTCCCTGGGTCCCCCAATGGCCCAAACAACACCGTCTGCGAAGGTGCAGGGCCCAGAACCCCCTTCGCAGGAACACAGCCCACCTGATCACACGCCAAGCAAGGCGACAGGCTTTAGTCACCACGTGTGACCTAGCTGGGGACCCTGGGGAAGGAACCAAGGGGAAGGGGCCCAGCAGCTGTTACCCGAGATGAGGCTGTCTCAGCAGCTCACATCCGATGTGCCTCAGGCGCGGCCTGAGGGGCCTCTGCCCCAGTCCCATGAGCCCAGGCCACCATCGGGGATGTGTGGGCACTGGGTGGCATCGCCTTCAGCCAGTGTGGGTGGGGACGCTTAGCTGGGAGAAGGGAGTCTGGCACACACAGTGGAGGGGTCTGACCCCCTTCTTGTCCCCAGACATGGATGAGTGCAGCTCCGGGCAACACCAGTGTCACAACTCCACTGTCTGCGACAACACTCTGGGCTCTTACAAGTGCCGCTGCCGCCTGGGCTGGAGGCCCAAACCGGGATTCCAGGACAACCAGATCACCACCATTTGTGAAGGTACCTCTTTCGATTTGATCCCAGACCCTAGCCCCAAACCCTGATTCTCATAGCTAAAAAGTCACTGTTCTGTCCTCAGTAGGGATCTCGTTCCCCACCTGGACCGCACCCCCTGGAATTCAGAGCCAGGTGGGTGGCCCCAGCAGCATTCAGGAGGCAGAAATGCCTCCACACAGCATACTCTATGTATTTTGCCCCATGCTTCCCCACCCACGCTGATGCTCTCTGA